AATTTTAAAGAACGCGCCGAAATAAATTTGTGGGATAGACGACTTTTTCGAGGTTATATTTATTAAATAAAATTATTTTAGATTTTAGAGCTACTGAGCAGTTTGGCAGCACACTTCGAACCGTCGACAACTGCTAAGTTCAGTTCATCCCATGTAGCTACTCCAGCGCTGTAGTGGAGAGTTTTTGAACTGTTATTTACTGCTTACAGATGGACACTTTTTCAACTATTCTCCTATGGGAGTTGGTACTACTTGCTTCTACACTCCATAATGTGGTGTATAAAAATTACTAGGGACGCCCAATCGATTATAATCAATCTTTTGAGTTTTTAATGAACAGTTGCATATTTTTTAATGTTTTGGCGCTGAGCAATGTCCTTTATACTTTAATATCAAGTACCTAAATTTATTGTATACTCAGCGATCCGCTCCGGCTTCATTTGGATGGGATATTATATTGTGGCGTCATTTAGATTTAACATAATTATCAAAGAAAAATAGAAAAAATGTAGCCTACATCACATTGATAATGCAGAAGAAACAGTGTTGGTGATAGCACGCAGCCTTGTGGAACACCAGCAGCGTTAATAGACTTGTAATCGAAGTATGCACTGTCTACTACAACCTTGATGTTCCGATCAGCAAGGAAACTGATGATCCAATTGCACGATTTGTCGGGAATCCCATAGGAAGGAATTCTCGAAAGCAGTGCTTCGTGCCAAACCATATATTACAGACAGATATTTTAATATTATACCGTTATTTGTATGTGATAGTACACTGTTAATGGCTATCAGTTTCTAACTTCCCGCAAAGAAAATTGAAAATTTTGAAAAATCGCGAAGATATTGTTTTTATCGGGAAGATACCGTTTTTCGAAATTTGAGTTTTCATCAAATCTTGACGTTTTGAGGTCACAGGAAGTCACCCTGACAATTTTTCGATAGTGTCTGTATGTATATGTGTGTATGTGTAGATGGATGTATGTAAACCTCATAACTTTTAGAAGGCTTGACCTATTGAAATGAATTAAGCGGATTTCCAAAGTGTTTCATCAAACTTAGATTTCCTATGAATTTTGACTAATTCACACCGGTATATTTTGAGAAATCTCAAAAATAAAAATTATGAAAAACAATTTTTTTTTGGAGTAACTTTTAAACGGCTTTACCGATCGATTCCAAAAACTAATCAGCTTTTAACCTTGTAAAATCACGTCGATTGATTTTTTTAAATAACTCCGATATTTCATATTCAACGTCGTAATTAGGTGAAATTTGGAATGCTTTGCATTTGAAATTAACGGGAAGTTCCAGGGTTGGCCTGCAGGGTCAACCAATTTGTTGAATATCGTTCCCGTGAGCAACAAGTAATGTTTCGTTCTGTTCCAGTGGCTACGAGCTTGCTGCGCAACGCGGTGATGGGGCTGGCAGAGGGCGGTAGTTCCGGTGACGACTCTGCCGACGACGCGGAGGAAGTGCGCCCGCGAAGAGCTGTGCGTACGCGCAGACGGGTGCGTCGAGCATTTCAGTTCCTTTGTTCGTTCTAACCAAACTACCATTTTTTTGTTATAGGATAGTGTGACAAACGAGCACACAGTCCACCTGATGGTAAGTGGTTGCTGTGGTCCATAGACATCTACATCTATCTTCGATTACAAATCAAAACGCAGATGCGTTGTCACCCGTGAGGACTAAGATGGAATGCCTCTTTTCCAGTAAAAAGGGTCTTCGGTTCTCTACACTCACCATACGAAACACAGTAGTATTAAGCTACTATTCTACGCTGGTATTCTGTGAGAGCGTGGTCCTTCCCCGGTCGAGCCGACCCATTCGTGCTACAACTATACTACTAATATAACTGCAGCATGGCTCTACCACGTTAAAAAATTTAATATAATATTTACCAAAGATTTACTAATTTCGCTCAGTTCTACTTAACAATGCTTTTCACCTGGTGTATTCTTGCAAACATCTGTGTCTAGCAGTGAATATTTAAATAATAAATATAATTTGTTTATATTCGTACATTGTATGTGGTGGAGCCATGCTTCAGCTATGTTATGGTTGTAGCACGATTAGTCGGCCCGACTGAGGGAGGATCACGCTCTCACAGAATAATAGCATAAAATAGCAGATGAATGTTGTATTATTTCGTATAGTGCGTATGGTAAGTGTAAAACTGAAGACTTTGTATACTGAAAACGAGGCATTCCCTCCTAATCCTTAGGTGTGACAACTGCATCTGCATTTCGAATTCTTTATTAAGAATAGATGATGTCTATGGGCCACAGCATTCACTTACTATCAGGTGGACTGTGTGCCCATTTCTCACCCTAATTATATTTTTTTTAAAAACTTGCTAACTTACCGATGGTTCTTTATGCTAATTAAGGGAAAAAAAGAGCCCAAGATACCTGTAGTTTCGCCGTTTCTTCTCTCTTTTTTGTATAAGCAAATGCCGTGGCTTATAGATATCTACAGTTATTCTCGTTTTAAAAATCGTAATGTTAGAGTTAAGAAAAGAACTCCTGAGGTCCAATTGAAAGTGCCTTGTAACCAGTATAAAGTGTCAATAAGGCTTAAACCGTATCTTTTTGTTATTTAATATAAATAGGAATTTTTATTTTCAGGCACAAGCTGCGGAGAATAACAGCAGCGACAGTGACGGCGACGGCGACGGCGACCTCGACATAATAGAGTTCGACATCGAATAGCTGCTAATAAATACGTTGAGAGTTTGCGTGGCTTGCTTATTTACCTTTCCTACCTGATCTTCCACATCTGATCACTAAAAGTACACTTTTTTAACAAAAGAATTATTTGTTTTGCTAAAAAAGTAAACAAACATTCTGTCATTTAGCACAATATCCAATACTAATATTTACAGAATTCAAACCTGAATACTTATGGTTCGGGTATTTATAAAGAACTAGTGACATCTAACTACTACTTCCAACTTTACAAACAAGTGTATGTGTGTGAGAGGGATAAAAAAGGGAGAGGGAGAGATAAAGCGTATATGTGTGTATGTTATTTATATAGCTCAGTGCCCTACGTGTGGCTGCAAGTCTCGCGTCTATCTATGTGCATACATGCGCAAGTACTAAAAGTATGTCTTACTTAATATGGTAAAATATTACTTCTGTCTTAATACTAATTATGATAAATTTGTCGTTATGTACTGAGATGTTAAATAAGAAAGAATGTTCTGACATCTATATCTATCACTTCACTTAAAGTGCATTAATATGTCAATGTGCAATTTAATAGTTCAAATTAGAAAAATACAAAATTACAATATTATTTCATCTTAATTTGAATAAAAAAGTTAAAGAAAGAAAAAATATACAGGCATGGCCATAACATAATGCATAATGTCAATCTTACAAACTCTAAATCATTTGTCAATTTAAAATTTCATACATCAACAACAATTCGCTTGAGGTGACCGTCACGGCAGAATTTGATAAATTCATTTGTCATAAAAACAATTTTCAATCAGAATCCCGAAAATAATTTTTTTAAATGTCAAGTTTTGAATATGGTTCGGAAGTAAATTAAAACACACACACACAGCAAAACAAGTTATGGCTGTCTGGGACACAGATAACTTCCACGGGTACCTTCTTGTACCACAACAATCATTATGTTGGTTTGTGAAGAGGTTAGCATTTTTTTTTTGGTAAAAGTTAAAATTTCATATATACATATAGGGAAGGTAATGTAAGAATATTTAGCTTTTTAAAGAGTGGTCTACATGATTCCATTTGACCAACACTGCATATAGATCTTATGCATCTGTTCTGTAGTATAAAAACACGAGAAATGTGTGTCGAATTTCCCCACAGAATCAGTCCATACCTCAGTATAGAACCAACATATCCATGGTAAGCCATCAGAGCTGTCTTAAGGTTGACTAACTTAGACAGACGATACAGAGCAAACACAAACATGTTAATCCTCTGGCATACAGTTTCTATGTGATTCTGCCATGTGAGTTCATGGTGGTGCTGGGGTTTACCATTTTTATTGTAAAATTGAATATATTTTGTTTTACTAATAATAATTTTCAAATCATTATGTTTTAGCCAATTCGTTATATTTCTTATTTAATTATTTATTTCATCATTATAGTCAGTATTAGGTTTCTTATGTATATAGAAATATCATCAGCATAGAGTGTAACAGGATATTGCATATATTTTGGAAGTTCATTGATGTAAATGATGAAGAGTAATTACAATTCATTCCTTAGCTATTAATTATCTAGAGATATTATTCTATTCATTAGCTACAGATAGAATATAAATATTCTTTGAGTGTATTTGTTAATATTACATAGATTGTTAAAATACATACATTAACCCGTTGTTGGGATATTCTTTTAAGTAAATATACACCTGTTATTTATTATATTTTATCAGTCTTTTATTCCTTTATATTTTCTTATTTGGCTGTTTTTTTTTCTTATTATATTAACTAATTATTTTAAGGAGAATGGGTAGAATCCTTGTACTGAAGTAGACCCAAATCTTAAATAAGAGGTATGAAGGTAAAAGTTAAAAACATTAAGAAATATGTAGATATAATAAAACATGTATTATAACATGGAATGATTTATTGGGTACGGATCTTGTTCTATACTGCCACATAATTATATTATATTCTTTGATTTTCAATAAAATGACAAAATTTGTAGCTATCAACAAACTAAATATTGATGATTTATTCAAATTACTCATTAGTTAAAATGTTAAGTTGTCGTAAATTAAAAATATAAGCAATATGTATCAAGAACAATATAAAAATAGTAAATTACACAATAGTAAAAACAGTTTACGAAACTACTAAAACTAAATATAATTATATCGCACTAATATTTTTATGATTTTCAATTAAAATTTTTAAACAAAAACAGTTAAAGAAATTTCTAGTTAACAATCATGTTAATAACAGTCAAGTATTGTAGTAGTAAACATTATTTATCTTAGGAAGCCCTTAAATTTTTTGTAAGTGCAAGTTCTGAAATATTTCAAGAATTTCTTTCATTTTATCATAGCGTGTTTTTCCATCGAGCTTTGATATCTCACATGCAACTATTTTTCCAAATAACTCATTACATTGGCTTTCTATTTCGTAATTCCTTACACATGATACATTGTCAGTCATTGTGCCTATATCCTTCATCGGTACAATGATGTCAACAAGAGTTGCAAATTTATCATGATCAGGCCAATTTTGGGACAAGGGAATATTGTCAGGCCATTTTTGAGATACACCTAAAGCTTCTTGGAATGACATTTCATTTGGGTCATCATTGCGAGATTCTGGTATTTCATCTTGTGATACATCTAAGCCACGTTGAGAATCATATAGAGAAACAGATTTCTTAGGAGTGACTTCCGGCTTTGAAAACACATCTTGTGATATAAATTTTATATCTTTGGATGAAACATTGTAAGTAAAATCCAAATTTCCATTAGACTCAATTGGTTTCAAGTTTTTAACGGGTGTATGCATTTCTGTAATATGATTTGATTTCACTCATTAAAAATATTCAAACAAGTTGGTATGAACTAGGCACAAACTGCATAATATGTACATTGTGCAAGAGCATGTGACATGAAATTCATAAAAATGTAGTGCCCATGAGACAATCAATAAAAAAAGATTTTAATTTAAATTCCGACTGGCTTTAATCATTACATAAACAATTGTATATATTACGAGAATAACATTAAATGCGCGAATATAGCCAGATTATATTTAGGTACAAAAAATGTATCAACAAGAGCTTGTGAATGAAGAAACTACAGCTTAAGGAGGATAATAATAAACCAGTACGTTTTTATATTCTAAAAGAATATTTCTGTTTAGAAAAACCATTCTTTCTTTCGAATAGGATAGGATTTAGAAAGGTAAAAAGTAACATAACACGAACTACACAATAGATAAATACAGGAATGGTACTTTTTACACGATAATAAAACTGAAAACTAAGTTTTTATATAAAACTTCAAACTAAATAAGAATTAACATAAAAATTCAATTTTAAAAGCTCAATAACAGAAAAGAAAATTAGATATTTACTAACTTTTATACATTTTCTTTTCTATAAACAAACTGTTCCAAAATATAGCTTTTAGCTTCCAGCTAACAGGGACAACGTCCTAATCACAGAACAATTTGTCTCCAAAGTTGGGTCCTAATTGTACTCTGAATCTTCCCACACCATAGCTGTCGCATAATCTGAATCCGAATTTGAAAACGAAAACTGTTATTCCGCCGCGAAAGAAAGACTAGGAATGTTTGATGATCATCGATGTTAAAAATCAAAACATCGATGTTGCCACATGTCAAACATCGATACATCGATGTCAATGAACCAATAATGGATTAATAAGAATTTGTGAACAATGCGAACGCACGAAATCATTATCAACTAAATATTTCATCTCCTATTAAAGGGTTAAAATTTTTGAATAATTCAGGTGTGCCGGACGGGCGAAACTCTCCGGAGTAAATGTTGTCGAAGATACTTCGCGAGTCGCTCACGTCCTACACCTATAGGTTCCGGTGGGTACTCTCACCGCCGTCTTTGTTGGTACCGCTGAAATATTGTGGACTGTAGTTAAAATCAAAATGCACGATTAACAAATACAAATAGCAAGGTAGTGGCCAGCGGTTCGACTGATTGATTAGTCGCGAAATTTTATAACTATTATTTATTGATCACTGTTGTTAAACTACGGTTGTTCACTATTGGTTGGTCACTGTATATTTCAAAAGATTTCTTTAAATTGTACGGTGGTATCAAATATCTATTGGTAGTAGCTGGTTTTCTAACACTACTGACTAGCAGCTATTATCAACTAAACTAGCTGATTTTATCACTTGTGTAACTGCGGATATCAGTTACCACTTTCACTATATGTAACTGCGAATGTCAGTTACGACCTTTTTCGGCTAGCTAACACTTTCACTATGTAACTGCGAATGTCAGTTACGACCTTTTTAGGCTAGGTAACACTTTCACTATGTAACTGCGAATGTCAGTTACGACCTTTTTAGGTTAGCTAACACTTTCACTATTCACTATATACTGCTACTAGTCACTTCAGCTACCACCGGATACCACTCACTTCACTTCACTTGTCACTGGTAGTTCTTCACACTACTACGGATACTGGGTCCCGAGCCCCTAAGGTAGACTTTAGCAATACTTTACAGTGAGCCGCTTGCCATTTTCCGTTTTGCCTCTTTATTGCATAAACTTATCACTATACAAATGGCATAAATTGCAATATTCTCTATACAAAACTAGTTGCTACACTAACATGCTATACATCATTAAATCGGTAGTCTGATACTTTATTAATATATCATAAAGGTTGCTAAAAACATTAACATTGTAAAAAAGTTATTAAACGAAATGTCCCAAATTTTCATAATATTTGGGCATTTTAATTCTTTAATTTTTCTATAACTACGAAATGCGTTTAATTATAAAAAAATATTCCTATACTTTCTTAATCTATAAGCCATATGCTAATTCAATGTCATATTTATAACTCTTTTAGGACATAAAATTATTTTCATTATTTTTAGTATGATCTATTACGCAGTTAATTAAAAAACTTCTAGAGAGTTCTACGATAAGACGCGCTGTGATTGGTCGATTTTTTGGTATATAATAAAAGTTGTTTATATTACTTGTTATCAAAACGACATTCTATACAAACATATTGAGAGTTATAAATATGCTAAATAACTATATTAATACACGTTTTCACTCAGTTTTCTTGGTAATTTCACTATTAATACATAAAACAATATTCTTTATCACTTTGTTTCTTAAGGTTGTTAGGCCGTCGCGAACATCTCTCCCGCCGTGCAGCGTCGCGACGATTTTCTCACAGCGGCGCTGCATCCATTTCGGTGAGCGACGTTGCTTCTACTTCGGCAGCGGCACGAGTTTCCTGGTTGGCCTCTTGATCAGGCCGTTTGCTGTGCGTACCTCCACAGTGCGGATCTGTCCGTCCGCACCGGGGTAGACAGCTTCCACCCTCCCTCGTGGCCAGGTGTTACGAGGTAACTGGCCGTCAGCTATGAGGACTGGATCGCCCACCTGGAGATTGGGACCTCGCCCATGGGCCTCCCGCCGGTTTTGAAGTTCCGGTAAATACTCTCGGACCCAACGCTGCCAGAACATGTCAGCGAGTATCTGGGAGCGTCGCCAGTGTCTTTTGCTATTCATATCTTTTTCATCAAATACTCCAGGTGTCGGCAGTCTCGCAGATCCTCCTAAAAGGAAGTGATTCGGAGTGATGGATTCGTCGTCGTCGCTGTCTACAGAGATGTGAGTCAATGGTCTGCTATTTACTGTGTACTCCACCTCGCAGAGCAGCGTGGCTAATACTTCCTCATGCGGATGTCTCTCATGAAGGACGGTGTATAGTGCCGTCTTCACGCACCGTATGAGACGTTCTCTCTTGGTCGGTGTTTTATGCAGCAAATTGATTGGAAGTCGAGCGAGCTTTAGGTTGAAGCTCAGCTGATCGGTACCCGGTTTCCAGATTAATCCGAGTATCTTTTCCTCGGTTCCTTTGTTTCCCAGATCGACTGACTCAGATGCTTCATGGTCAGGTTCTAATTCTTTTACAATTTCTGGTGCGTTGGAAACCCATTTTCTTAAGGTGAAGTGCGCGTTTTTGTGTATGTCGCGTACTTCCTTCGATATTCGCATCGCCTCTTCCAGAGACTGGAAACTGTCGAGATAGTCATCCATATAGTGGTTTTGAATGATAGCTTCTACGGCTTCTGGATACTTGTCTTTGTGTTTTTTAGCGTTCCAGTTTTTCGCGAATATGGCTGTGCAGGGTGAACTGGCTGCACCGAAAATGATCGACGTCATTCTATATTCCTGTGGAGCTTCATTACGTCGATCCCCTCTCCAGAGATATCTTAAGGCATCTCTGTCTTCAGGTCTGACTTTAACCTGCATGAACATTTCGGCTATGTCCGCGGAGACAGCGACTTTATGGCGGCGAAAACGCATCATGACCCCTGGTAGTGATTGCAGTATGTCTGGACCCGTGAGCAGGAAGTCGTTCAATGACACCCCCTTTGTTTTGGCTGCGGCATCGTGTACTATTCGAAACTTCTCTGGCTTCATTGGGTTATGGACGTCGAAATGGGGTAGGTACCATGTTCTTCCCGGTGTGCTAGTTTTCGGTGCTATCTCGGCGTATCCCTTTTGTACTAGGGAATTCATTTGTTCATCATATTTTCTTTTTAGATCTTCGTCTCGATCTAATTTTCTTTCAATGGAAACGAGCCGTTTTATTGCCGTTTCATAATTACCAGGCATCTCGATATCCTTTTTCTTCCAGAGAAGCGCTGTTTCTATGTGCCCGTCTTGTAACTGACGGGTGCTGCTATTTAGTATATCTTCAGCTTTCTTCTCTGGGTCGGAGTCTGGTCTTCTCGGATTGATAATGAGAGATTCCAGCGCGAAATATTCGCGGAGTTGGTCATCTATAGTTTCCTCGCTCTTGTGCAGCTCATTGGCCGCGTGGACGCGCTGATACGGGGCTTTAGTGTGTGCCCCGTGTAGCACCCATCCTAATTCTGTGAGCGAGGCAATTGGCTGGTGCGGCGGACCTCTTCGGATTTGAGTGGCTATCAGAAGTCTCCAATTGTCCTGTCCTATTAGGATCCTTGGGTTGCCGGAGTCATATGTTAGCTGCTCCTTTAGGTCTTTCAAGTGCTTGCACTTGGCTATGTCTACTGCACGCACAGTCTGTGGCCCCAAGTTTAGGCTTTCAACCGTGCGTGCTCTGAATGGCACCCTTTTGCTGTGGAGACTCTTCAGCGATACTTTGATTCTTCGAGATTCCGGTGAATCGAGGGTAGTGTTCCCGATAGCGGTGATCTTAAACGGGTCCAACCGCCCTGTAGCTCCAATTTGTTTGGCTATCTCTTCATCCATTAGTGAAACTGTTGACCCATCATCCAGCAGGGCGTGTGTGTTTACAGCTCCCGCCGGTCCAATTACTCGCACTGGAATTATTTTTAAATAGGCTTGATGCTTTGACACAGCGAATGAGTTAGCAACAGTTTCTTGAGGTTCTTTTTGTTTGACCTCAGTCTTCTCCTTTGTATTGTTATGGAGAAGTCGATTGTGTGTCGCGGTGCATCCTTCTATTCCACACTTATTGGTTTTACATTTGTGTGTCTGATTTCGATAACGTAAACAGCGGAAACATAAATTATTTTGCTTTGCGAGTTCCCATCTTTTGTTGATATCTGCTTCTTTAAATTTTTTACATTCAGATCCGTAGTGACCCTCCTTTTCGCACACTCTGCATTTCGGAGACGGCTTAGTAGTAGCCGCGTGTGCTCTATGTACTGAACGATTGCTTTGTGCTTCGTTTATAATTTCTGGAGGCGCGAATGCACTGCAGAAGCGAGCTTGCTCGGTAATAAACTCGCTGAAGCAGCCGAGGTCTGGTCTAGAGTCGTATTTTTCAGTGTATATTCTATACCACTGGGCACGTATAGAGTTTGGCAGTTTGTCGGTGAGGTGTCGTAGCAGCTCTGCGTTGACGAGGTAATGATCTCGCTTTAGGGCTCTAAGAGTGACGACGCTTCCCCCTCACTTTGCTCGCGAATGTGCAGATGTCTCTGGGCGATTCTGTACAGCGTGCTAATCCTCGTAACTTCTCGGTTTCTGCTTGCGCGATTGAATCTGGACGCCCAAATTGTAGCTCCAGTTCTCGCATAATCTCATCTGGCTTAGCATGCCCGATGAGTTCTGAACTGACTGTTTCCAAGGCTCTTCCTTGTAGACTTCGTCTTAGTCTAGCAGTGTTTTCAATGTCATTGAAGTAGCCTCGGGTTGTTTCGTAAATGGCACGGAATGAAAGCCACTCGGTATGTGCTCCGCTAAAGCTTGGCAGTGTCATTATAGCTTTCGACGCTGCGAAAGTATGCGACGATAGTGGCGCACTCTCTAACTTTGGTTTGTCAGCGAGCGCGGCTATAGCGGATGTGAGCTCCGATATAAACGGACGGAGCCCCCTGTCTTCACTTATGACAGGTTCCTGGCTAGGTTTCTTTGGATTGGGATCCTTTTGTACATCTTCTGGATAGGAATCCTGGTTTGTGAGCTCTGATACAATCGGTAGGAGCCCCCTGTCTTCATCAACGGTGGGTTCCTGGCTGAGCTTCTGTGGCATGGGATGCTTTTGTGCATCTTCTGGATAGGAATCTGGTTCGTGAGCTCCTTTTGGGGCTCACTGAGGTCGACAACGTCCGGGGTCGGCTTTGTGACGGTTTTATTAAATGGTGCCTTCCCTCCGGTGATTGCGCCTTGATTTGACTTTTGTTTGGCTACAGAGTTTTCGAGCCAAGATCGAACGTACTCACTTTTGGAGTGACCATCTTCATCATAGTCGTCCGATTCGTCCTCTTCCTCAGCCATCTGCAAGGAGATCTGCGCAAGTTCTAGTTTGATCTTCAATACTTCTTCACGAGCCTTCAAAATTCTTCTATTGGGCCGAACAGTCTTCTTAGACTTCGTACTGCAAACGGTGTGGCCCCTCGGTGGCTCTTCGGTGTGGGTGTCTTCCCTGGCTGGTGGCGATGATGCACGGCTAAAGTCATCGTTGCCTTCTATATGTTCCCTCTGCTTCGTTGTGCGGGCCGTAGTGGACGGCGCGGGCAGGGGTATCCCCCTCTCGGGGGGCAGCATGGCGCCTCAGCGCCCTCTACCGTTGACGGCGAGCGTGGTGGCATCTGGTGGTGGACGGCGGCGTTACTGGCCGACGAACCTCCTTCCAGACCGACGGTCCACGCCTTGGCTGCCCTTCCTTGCGAACGGGTGATCGGCATCTTGAATCTGAAAATTCTGCGGTTTTAATACGGTGGTGACTATTTACCCGGTTCCGAAATACAAACGGATAGATCCGGCTCGAAGGACCAACGAATGTGCCGGACGGGCGAAACTCTCCGGAGTAAATGTTGTCGAAGATACTTCGCGAGTCGCTCACGTCCTACACCTATAGGTTCCGGTGGGTACTCTCACCGCCGTCTTTGTTGGTACCGCTGAAATATTGTGGACTGTAGTTAAAATCAAAATGCACGATTAACAAATACAAATAGCAAGGTAGTGGCCAGCGGTTCGACTGATTGATTAGTCGCGAAATTTTATAACTATTATTTATTGATCACTGTTGTTAAACTACGGTTGTTCACTATTGGTTGGTCACTGTATATTTCAAAAGCTTTCTTTAAATTGTACGGTGGTATCAAATATCTATTGGTAGTAGCTGGTTTTCTAACACTACTGACTAGCAGCTATTATCAACTAAACTAGCTGATTTTATCACTTGTGTAACTGCGGATATCAGTTACCACTTTCACTATATGTAACTGCGAATGTCAGTTACGACCTTTTTCGGCTAGCTAACACTTTCACTATGTAACTGCGAATGTCAGTTACGACCTTTTTAGGCTAGGTAACACTTTCACTATGTAACTGCGAATGTCAGTTACGACCTTTTTAGGTTAGCTAACACTTTCACTATTCACTATATACTGCTACTAGTCACTTCAGCTACCACCGGATACCACTCACTTCACTTCACTTGTCACTGGTAGTTCTTCACACTACTACGGGTACTGGGTCCCGAGCCCCTAAGGTAGACTTTAGCAATACTTTACAGTGAGCCGCTTGCCATTTTCCGTTTTGCCTCTTTATTGCATAAACTTATCACTATACAGATGGCATAAATTGCAATATTTTCTATACAAAACTAGTTGCTACACTAACATGCTATACATCATTAAATCGGTAGTCTGGTACTTTATTAATATATCATAAAGGTTGCTAAAAACATTAACATTGTAAAAAGTTATTAAACGAAATGTCCCAAATTTTCATAATATTTGGGCATTTTAATTCTTTAATTTTTCTATAACTACGAAATGCGTTTAATTATAAAAAAATATTCCTATACTTTTTTAATCTATAAGCCATATGCTAATTCAATGTCATATTTATAACTCTTTTAGGACATAAAATTATTTTCATTATTTTTAGTATGAACTATTACGCAGTTAATTAAAAAACTTCTAGAGAGTTCTACGATAAGACGCGCTGTGATTGGTCGATTTTTTGGTATATAATAAAAGTTGTTTATATTACTTGTTATCAAAACGACATTCTATACAAACATATTGAGAGTTATAAATATGCTAAATAACTATATTAATACACGTTTTCACTCAGTTTTCTTGGTAATTTCACTATTAATACATAAAACAATATTCTTTATCACTTTGTTTCTTAAGGTTGTTAGGCCGTCGCGAACATCAGGTTTCCTAAACGCATCGATCACCTAAAAATATCATAATGGTGTGTCAAACTCACTATCAAGTGTGAACTGTAATGTGGCAGTTGTCACTGCTTTTGCTTTATTATTCTGTGGTGTCGTTGTCAGTTGTCGCCTAATAACTATTCTACGTAAATTAATATTCAAATTAATTGTTTTACCCTTGCTGTTTATACGCAGATAATTTTGAAACAATATGTATCTACACAATTCATTTATATTGAGATGTTTTTTGAGCTAAAAATAACAAATGAACTAGATAATTATTAACTTTTTTTATTATTGTTTGACACAATATTTTTATAAATTTCTTTTATTACATTAATAATAAATCATAAACAACACTACTAATTTTGTATTCATCTAATTTTAACCTATTAGATAGGTACATGTGCAAAACATCGATAATGATCAACATCGACATTTTGAGTAAGATAAACATCGAACATCGATGTTAAGCTGTCGATACCAATATCGATGTCACATCGATGTTTCCGCAACATCGATTATCCCTAGTGCGCATGAGCGACTCCAATGTTTCCGTAGACAGAGAAACCTATAGACTAATGATCGGCGTGGCCTCGAGTGTGAAAGGACGATAACGAATTTTTAGGTTATACAATAATCGTTATGACTTTTAAACACATTTAGATAAAAATTTTAATTGTTCTAAGAACTGAACTGAACAAGATTCACCAATCTTAAGCTCACAAAACACTTTTTTCTCACTTAAACCAACTTGTAAACTCCTTAAATCGCTGCGCTGTTAAAGTTGTTTAGCAAACTGTAGAGTGCTAAACAAAAAAAACCGGCACGGAGAAAGGGACAAACAATCACACCGCTCTATCTCATTTCTATGCAAGACGTATGTATTAATCTATCTTTTTCGTGTGCGAATGCGAAAGAAGGCGTCAATTTGTCTATAGGTTTCTCTGTCTACGAATGTTTCCCTTTTTTTATTTAACTGGCTTTACGGCTCTGGGTTTCTGAGCCTATCATTTCATTCTGAATCTTCATTTTATATACTTTTTCGTCACAATGTGCTGATGCGTCACATTGCGAAGTTTTTGGGAGATTTTGACGACAGCTCAACCCAGCGGACTGTTGATGACGACAGCCACTCAAGTTCATAAGGCGCCCAAGCGATCAAATTAACTTGAAGTTTATATCAACATCAAAGCACTTGTTTCGTCGTTTTCTCTAATAGTTCACACGCGCAGACAATTAATTCACAAAATTACATCACTTTTACGAATTAAAATCCACTTCAAACCATTATTCAAGCGACAAAACAGGAGCGACAGACCGTCTTCGGCCAAGTTCCCGCCAAAACACCCTATTGTTTCCCGCGCATGTGCGGATACAGAGTAGTGCACATTTTTTGTTTGGAATACGAGTAGCTTCTCTAGTACATAGTACATATAAAGTATCTGATACACGGTTTGAAACGATGGTTTGAAACCAAGGTGACCTTGGTAGAAAACAAGTTGCGCTTTGCGGCTACATGGTTTCAAACCATCAGTGTGGAAAGAACGTTGCGCGGACAGGACGTCCGCGTCTCTACGTCTCTACGCTGGCACCGTACAACGAGACGTCATGGTGCTTTACCTATCTACACAACAAAAAGTTGGGGTGGCTCTTGCTCTTTTGTGTGCAATTGAAGAAAAAAGAAAAAAGCGAATATGAATGAAAAAATGGTTAAAGGAGAGATTAACCCTTAGTCATATGAACTTAATAAACCTACTGGACTTTGATGACATACATAACTTTCTAAGAATGGATAAAGAAAGTTTTTACGAATTATTGTCCAAGGTGAGGCCATTTATAACTAAAAATGACACAAACATGAGACCAGCAATATCTGCTGAAGAAAGGCTTTTAGCCACACTAAGATTTCTAGCCACTGGAAGAGACTATAAGGATTTGAGATATAGCTCGATAATATCACATCAACTACTATCAAAAATCATTCCTGAAACTTGCTGGGCAATCTATAAGGTTTTAAAAAAACAATCAATGTAAGTAATCTGTAATATTTATTTGTGTTTTCTAAAAATTAACAATTCTTTCAAAACTCCTTCCGCCGGATCCTCTGCATACAACACTGTATTCTCAATTATGTTGACAGCGTTCTGTGAAGATGGCGTAGAATTTGAATGTGTAATTTGTGAGAAATTTGGAAATATTTTGGTAAGAATGAGATGTAGCAGGTGATAGATGTTGTGTATGAGAGGAAGGAGAAGCGGGTGATTGAATGGGAATAGGACAATTTGGGGATGGTGAATTCACTGATTGAGAGATTAGGTAAGAATGAGGTGAAACAGTTGATGGATGTTGTGTATGAGAGGAAGGAGAAGTGGGTGATTGTATGGGAATAGGACAATTTGGGGATGGTGAATTCACTGGTTGAGAGATTAGGTAAGAATGAGATGAAGCAGTTGACGGAGAATATTGTGCAAGAGAGGATGGAGAAGGAGTTGATTCAGTTTGGATATACTGATTGCCGTTAGAGGAAGTCGAAGGAGGTGAGTGTACGAAGTACAATTGAACAGAGTTATGTGAAGAATAGTGATATTTTCTTGATGGAATTTCTATTCTTGTGTCAAAGGTCAAATTATTAGTCTTAGCAAGAAAAATGACCTCTGAAATTAGTTTCTCAGCGAGATCTCGCTGCTGACCAATTTCTTCCATTTTCTTGCCCACATATACTCCGAATGCATTAGTTTCCCTTCTGTTCCCTTCTGTTTTTCTTTTTTAATTTCGATGTTGCGTTCTCTTGTCAGCTTTTTTTGATTCGTCCGGCCTATTTGTTGTTCCTGAAACAAAAATACAGTAGATTTTATATGATATAATGTAATTTATATTTTATTTAATTACAGCTGCCGTCAACAGAAGAAGAATGGAAAATGTCTGCGAAGTTATTTGAAACACAATGGCACTTCAATAATTGTGTCGGTTGTATGGACGGCAAACATATTTTAATACAAAAACCGTCTGAATGTGTCTTTTCTTCAACTATAAGGGCACATTTAGTGTAGTTTTATTCGCCATCGTAAATGCCAATTACGAATTTATTAAGCCCATACAGGTTCAAACGGGAGCCAGTCTGATGGAGGCATATTCAAAGAGACATCATTTTATGCAAAGCTTACTAACAACCAATTGCATTTACCTGAACTCTACTTGTTACCAGGAACAGATATATCTGTACCATATGTTTTTTTGGGCGATAGTGCTTTTTGCACTTGAAAAACATGTTATGAAACCATTTCCTGAACGGAACATTTCAAGGGAGCAAACCATATTCAACTACAGACTATACAGAGCTAGGAGAATTGTAGAAAACGCTTTCGGCATCCTTGCGTCTCGTTTTCGAGTTTTTAGACAACCGCTAAATTTAAGTCTCGAAAATATAGATGCAGTTGTGTTGGTAAGTTGTGTTTTACACAATTTTCTGACGAAAAAGTCGAAAACATATTTGACTCCTACGTGTGTTGATAAAGAAGACTTAGAGAGAGGTACTTTTATTAATGGGATTTAGCTTCAAGAAACAAACCAACTAACATCTCTGCAAAGAACCATTCAGAGGCCTTCGACAGATGGGAAGAACATCAGAAATACTCTCACTCAGTATTTCAATGGTGCCGGTAGCGTCACTTTTCGAGATAGAATGATAAATTTTGTTAGTACCTAGTTGAAATAATTAGTAATTACGAGGGTGGATTGAAAAGTACTCGGCCTAACCAAGAAAATAAACACATACTAAATCAGTTATATTTTTATTTTTCTACATAATCACCATCAAGTTCAATACACTTTAGCCACCTCCCCTTCCAAGCATTTAGACCGTTGAAAAAAATGATTCTTCCTTAGAGTCAAAATATGCGTCTACAGCTGCTTTGACCTCGTCGTTTGTCGAAAATCTTTGACCTCCCAAGTGCTTTTTTAGGTTAGGGAACAGAAAGAAGTCTGATGGTGCCAGATCAGGTGAATACGGCGGATGCGGTAACAGTTCAAAGCCACAGTTGTGAATTTCAGCCATTGACTGTACTGACGTGTGAACACGGGCGTTATCTTGATGAAACAGGACTTTTCTTCTGAGCATTCCTCGACGTTTTTCTTTTATTTCCTCTCATAAACGACATAGTAAGGTGCAGTAGTAATCAGAGTTTATAGTCTGACCCCTTTAAAGATAATCAATCATAATCACACCTTTCGAGTCCCAGAATACTGAAGCCATCACCTTATTTGCCGACAAAATCGACTTAGCCTTTTTAGGGGGTGGTGAACCAGGTCTTCTCCACTGTTTTGATTGTTGTTTTGTTTCCGGTGTACAGTAATGAACCCATGTTTCGTCCATAGTAACAAAACGATTCAAAAAATCATCTGCATCAGCTTCAAATAACTCCAAACAGTCGCGTAAAATAGTCAATCGCGTCCTTTTTTGTTCAACTGAAAGCAGTCGCGGAACCCACCTCGCAGACACCTTGTGGAAACCCAACTCGTTGACAATGATGTTTTGAGTTCGTTCATAAGAGATGCCTATAATCTCGGCTATCTCTCTAATTTTTAATCTGCGGTCTCCCATTATTAAATCAAGTACTTTTTTAATATTTTCGTCAGTAGTTGACGTCGAAGGCCTTCCAGAGCGGGGTTCATCTTTCACACTCTCTCTACCACGCTTAAATTCTGCTATCCATTTTTTGACGGATGAATATGACAGAGCACAATCGCCTAATGTACTGAGCATGTCATCGTGGATGGCTTTTGATGATAGCCCCTTCTTATGGAGGTACTTAATGACGGCACGCTGCTCGATTTGCTCCATTCGCGGAAATTATGTCCGATTACTTTGTTAATAAATTTATAAAATCACAACTAATTATCGCACACGTTTCGAATTTCACACAATGATCTAGTCTGAACTGAACTAAATAATGTGGGTAGATTTGATTTTTAGAATTGAATGGATCTGTGTTAGGCCGAGTACTTTTCAATCCACCTAGGTACATAAGCCAGATGCACCAAATTGTATAACATCATTATAATTAGTTTATATTAAAATAAATCTCTGTTTTGAAAGTAATTAGATATTCTAGTATTTATTAAACCCATATTTACTCGAGGTTATCAAATAATTACTTACCATAAGTCCATATTTCCTAAAGAATATAATTATGTGTTACTGGAAATCTGTATAATATAGGTATGTATACTACACGCCTTTTACACACATTGCCAATTACGCAGTTGGTATTGTATTGAATACCTAGGCGTGATTGGCCCGATACGCCATTGGACTAAATTACAAATTCACGATTGGCCTAATTCACAATTGGCCCAAAATACAATGTTTTTGAATGAAATAAAACTCAAAACTACCTCATCAATCGCGAATTGGGCCAATCGCGAATTTGTGAATTAGTTCAATGGCGAATTGGGTCAATCGCGCCAAAACGTAATCATCATCATCATCATCATTACAGCCCTTCACAAGTCCACTGCTGAACATAGGCCTCCCCCAAGTAATGCCACAAAGCACGGTCCTGAGCCACCTGCATCCATCGACTTCCTGCATGTCTTACCAGGTCGTCACTCAATCTAGTGGGGGGTCGCCCTACACTACGCCTACCGGTACGAGGCTGCCACTCGAGAACCTGTCTTCCCCATCGGCTATCGGTTCTTCGAGCTATATGGCCGGCCCATTGCCACTTCAGCTTACTAATCCGTTGAGCTATATCGGTCACTCTGGTTTCACTGCGGATATCCTCATTTCTGATTCTATCACGCAGTGAAACTCCGAGCATAGCCCTCTCCATAGCTCGCTGAGCGACCTTGAGCGTCCTCATACGGCCAGGGGTGAAGGACCACGTCTCAGATCCGTAAGTCATCACTGGCAACACGCACTGGTTATACACTTTAGTTTTCAGAGATTGAGGTATACCTGACGAGAAGATGTGTCGTAATTTCCCGAACGCTGCCCAGCCGAGTTGAATCCGTCGATTGACCTCTCGGTCGAAGTTGGACTTACCTAGTCGGACTATTTGTCCCAGGTAAACGTACTCGTCAACAACTTCGAGCATAGTGCTCCCAACAACTACCGGCATAGGTGTGACATGGACATTAAACATGATCTTTGTTTTGTCCATATTCATCTTAAGACCTATCCGTTGGGAGACACCATTGAGGTCATTGAGCATAGTGCTAAGGTCCTCCAGCGATTCTGCCATAAGGACTATATCGTCGGCAAATCGAAGGTGAGTGATGTACTCGCCATTGATGTTAATACCGTATCCTTTCCAGTCCAGTAGCTTGAAAACGTCTTCCAACGCAGCGGTGAAGTGAGTTTCGGGGATATAACATCACCCTGTCTTACACCTCTCTGCAGTTGGATAGGTTTCGTACTCTGGTTCTGTACTCGGATAGCCATCGTAGCCCTACTGTACAAACACTTCAGCACTTCAATATACCGACAGTCAACTAGGCACCGCTGAAGAGACTGTAGCACCGCCCAAATTTCGACGGAATCAAAGGCTTTCTCATAGTCCACATACGCCAGGCAAAGTGGCAGATTGTACTCTTCGGACTTCTGTACAATTTGCCGAAGGGTATGTATGTGGTCTATGGTACTGAAGCCTTTTCGGAAACCGGCTTGTTTGGGAGGCTGGAAGTCGTCGAGTCTGCGTGCGAGACGATTGCGTAATGACTCTCGAAAACAGCACGTAGACGCGGCTCAGAAGGGAAATCGGTCTGTAGTTCTTCAAGAGAGCGTTGTCGCCTTTCTTAAAGAACAAGACCACCGCGCTTCTGCTCCACGCCTCCGGAGTAGTGCCACCATGGAGGACGGAATTGAAGAGCTTCTGAAGGACTTCAAGTACCGGTGTTCCACCCTCTTTCAGAAGCTCCGCTGTAATTCCATCCTCGCCCGGGGCCTTGCCGTTTTTAAGGTGGTGGAGAGCCATTCTAATCTCGCTCAGACTGACGTCCGGGATATCATCGGAATAGTGTCGGATAAGACTTGCTCTTGGATCGTTACTCACACTTGCGTGTGGCTCCAACGATGATGTGTACAGCTGCCCATAGAACCTCTCAATCTCACCCAGAATCTCAGGTGTCCTGGAAACGATGTTGCCACACTCAGTCTTCAGCCTTGACAGTTGGCTCTTTCTGGCAGACAGATCTCTGGCAAAGACTTTGGAGCCCTGGTTCCGCTCGATCGCTTCCTTTAATACGAGCAGTATTAAAGTTGCGTAAGTCTCGCCGCATGCATTTGGAGATCTGTCTGTTCAGTTGCCTGTATGCTGTCAAATCTGTTGACGATTGCAGCCTCATCTCCCGTTTAACAGCTATGAGATTAAGAGTGTAATCGGAGAGTTTTTGTGTTCTTCTGCGGCGGGTCTTGCAGAACTTAGCTCCGACCGCATGGACAGTTTCCACGAGCTTGTCATTCATATCGTCCACTGCATTGCAATCCTCTAGGCACTGAAAGCGGTTTTGTAACTCGAGCTGGAAGGTTTCGGGATTCTGGATTAGAGCACGAGGGGGACGGAGCGTTGACTTCATTAGACGAGACCTCTCCAACTTAACATTTAGGTTCAGTGTGTCTCTAACCATTCGGTGATCGCTGCCAGTTTTCACCCTTGCGATCACTGAGACATCACTGAACAGTTGGCGTCTGGTCGTCATAATGAAGTCAATCTCATTTTTTATCGAACCGTCGGGGCTCGACCAGGTCCACTTCCTGTGGGGCCGCTTCTGGAAGAAAGAGTTCATCATAAAGAGTCCCTCTTTCTCCATAAAGTCGGCCAGCTGCTGGCCCCTTCGGTTCCGTTGCCCTACTCCAAATTTCCCCCACCTTCGGCTCACCGCTTTCTCTTGTGCCTAGTTTTGCGTTGAAGTCTCCCATCAACACCGTGTAGTGCTTTTGGAGGATGGCTCTGGAAATATCCTCATACATTTCCTCCACCTCCTCATCGGGATGTGCCGAGGTTGGTGCGTAAACTTGTATGACTTTCAGCTGAATACCGTTTGGTGATTCTGAGTATCAGGTACGCGACCCTCGTCGACGCACTCCCAATCTTTACAACGTTGTTGACGAGAGACTTGTGGACGATAAATCCGACACCTCCTTGGGACAGATGGTCGCCCTCCCGGTGGTAGAACAAGTTGCCGGACACGAGGATTGCCGTATCCTCCCCTTTCTTCGGACCTCGGATAATCCAATAATATGCCAGCGCAACTTGTCTACCTCTTCTTCCAGCTCCAGTATCTTCTCGTCAGTCCTCAGAGTGCGTGCGTTATATGTTGCCAGGTCGAGTCGTCGTAGGTGGCAACCGAACCTCCACCGGAGATTCTTAGCACCCCCTGCCCCGCCGTTACCATGGTCGCCACCGTAGCCAGGAATAGCGGGGCCGCCGGGGACTGGGGGCCGTTTTTTTGCGTCGTTATTCATGGGGGGGATATTTGCCATAGTTGCCACGCTTGGCGAGCGGGTTGGCAACCGCAGTTTTTTATTATAACACAGTTGTTATCAGAAAGATGCTGCTGCCCATCTCCTGCCTGTCTCCCTCTGTCACCTCTTACGACACCCACGGGAAGATATGGGGTAGTGGATATTCTCAAATGCCACTACACGGAGATAATATATAATTGCCAAAACGTAAAATGAATAATAATTCATACATTACTTAAACGGTTTTGGGAGGTAGGTATTGTATAGAATACTGAATTATTGAGATTGCCGGTAACATAATTATACAAATACAACTTACGACTTCCGCGTCACCCATGAGTGAATCGAGTCCCTTTCCTTTCACATCATTTTTTTTCTCCAAGAATGTCAATAACTTGTAATACCATAAACTGGGCTTATGAACGTCAATGGTGGACGATCCAGTGCGGTTTTTTGATTCTTTGACCTGAAAAGCGTAAAAAATAAAGTGAGTCGGTAAACTACATAACGAGGAAACAAGTAGTAGGTAGGTATGTTCCAACAATGAAGAATTATATTTGAAGAATTATATAAAGAAGAATTATGGCAATCAGTAAATATTTTCATATAAATAACAATTTTAATTCTGGTTTTATGTTAGGTAACTATTGAAAACACAAAATAGAAAAATAAGTAGGTAGGTACAATAATATGTACCTTATATTTCACTGCATTTTTATTCAAAACTGATAGGAATTTCTATTTTAATTAACTTATAGTTAAGTTACTTACCTTCTTGGATTCCCGTATATAAGAAATTCTAAGATTTTCTATCTTTTTTTTTTGCAGACGCGGCGTTGGCCGATGGGTCAATTTCTTTTGTGGCTAAAATATCCCACGCATTTTTTTTCTGAGTAGAATCTTTGTATGTTTCACATGTTAAGTCCCAAAGACAAGGCAAGTCTCTATACAGTTCCAGGAGTTCCGTGATCACTTCACGTTCTCTTTGCTCTTGTGCCATTTTGTGCGTGAAACGTCGCCGCGTGTTCACGTGGTTTCAAACAAGCGGCTAGACGGTTTCAAACAAGTTTCAAACCAACGCTTCTGCCAGTGGTTTGAAACGCAAGCCTTGCTACCAAGGACATTTGAAGGTCAAACGAAATTTGGTTTGAAACCACTATCTACGATTTGAAATCTCTGTTTCAAACCGTGTATCAGATACTTAACTCAATAAGTGTAACAAACGCTCTGATTTGAAATCGTAATTAAATATACTTACTAAACTTATTGTAGTAGGTATGCATTAATATGATTGTATAAAACGTAGTTTATATTTAATTTTCTTTTCAAATCGTTACTCGAGTTTGATGTTATAAAATTGATGTTATAAATTAAAATTGTGTAGAACTGATGAAATTTTGACGACGACAAAATCGAAGTAATTTGGAATTTGGGTAACATTGAACGGTTCGAAGATACCCGTATCATAAAAAATATTGTTTTGGACAAAGATATAAAATAGCAAGATGCGCCTTCACCTTGAAAAACTGTTGCATTCTTTTGAATGTGTGCGTTTGCAAGCGCTGACGCGCGCATTCTAATGCAATAGTGTCATCTCTTATTATCTTACGGAAATTGTGTATACTACTTTCTCTGTCTAACACGGCATTTCCGTCTGTTTATGTCTAATTATAGATGATCTCTTTATATCTCCAACTTTATAGATCTAACTAAATTGGTTATTATAATAATATATTTATGGAACCCAACCAGATGAGAAAACTATATAGATACCCCGATAATAATAATAATAGTAATCTTTATTGACATAAAATGAGTTACAAATATCCTATGAAGGCTCTGAATCCAAAACTAGGTAAGAACCTGTATGTCAACATTCATTCCCATGTTTCTTAGTCTAATGAATTTACACAATTTTCAATTTTTCAATTTTAAGACAATTTTTAAAAGTGTGTGTGTGTGTGTGTGTGTGTGTGTGTGTGTGTGTGTGTGTGTGTGCGTGCGTGCGTGCGTGCGTGCGTGCGTGCGTGCGTGCGTGCGTGCGTGCGTGCGTGCGTGCGTGTGTGTGTGTGTGTGTGTGTGTGTGTGTGTGTGTGTGTGTGTGTCATGTTATTCGGAATATGTGTATTACATAATAATGGACAATGAAAGGAATATGTGTAGTACGGCATCTTATGGGATCAATAAGATTAGTAATTTTACGCTTGTTACGTGATTTATATATAGATCATAAGGGTTATAAACATGCTGTTTGGTGATGATGTGATATATAAATAACTGCCTTACTGTGAGAACTTGACACATCTCATAAAGGGTATTGGTGGTGAATCTATAAGGCTTAAATGTCATTGTTTTGAGCAAGGAACTTTGAGCTCTCTCAAGGTGTATGATGTGTGTTTTACATGCGCCTCCCCATACTCCGATGCAATAGCTAACAACAGATTGAACTAGTGCATAATATACAGTGCGAAGAAGTTCTAGGTTGGTAATATGCATAAGATTATTGAACACCCATGTTATTTTCCTGACTAGTGACGCAATCATGTCTATATGTGGTTCCCAAAATTTTACGAAGTAAAATCCACTTCAAACCAATATTCAAGCGACAAAACAGGAGCGACAGTCCGTCGTCGGCCAAGTCTCATCCAATAGTACTCCAAGATACTTCATTGTAGGTGTTTTACTTATTCGTTGACATGTACATATGTTTGTAAAAAAAATTGCATGTGTGAATACGAATATCCAAGTTCTGTTATTTTATTCGAGAAGTAATAAACATGAGGTTTTGGATACATTTATGGTCAGAAGATTATGATTAAGCCGTAAGTTAGCCCTATATAGTCTCATTTCAGCATTTTGTCGAACTTCATCCCAGGTTTTCCCACGAAATACGAAAGATGTGTCATCTGCATATGTGAAAATTGTCCCTTCATGTAGTGAAATTTGACACAGATCGTTTATGTATACAAGAAACAGACTGCGAGCGAGCACACTGTCTTAGTTTACAGCTCGTCAGAGCTGATGTATTTGTTTATTTTAACTTGTTGTTGACGACTCATCAGAAAATCCTTGTAAATTTTAAGCATTGTCCCCCTTACGCCATATTTTTCTTACTTTTCCAGAACAATAGGGATCGAGACAGTGTCAAAAGCTTCGCAAAGGTCAATAAAAACTCCAACACACTTTTTTTTTGTTATCGAGACTTTCTGCAATATACTCTACCAAATAACTGACAGCTCCATCTGTACTTTTTTTGGTTTGAAACCAAATTGGGAGTCTGAAAGAACGCTATTTTGTTCCAAGAATTTTAATAGTTGGTTATTCAGGATTTTTTCTAACACTTTAGATAATGCTGGTAGCACAGATATTGGTCTATAATTTGATACATTGTCTCGTGCTCCACTCTTGTGGACAGGTGTAATGAGAGCTCTTTTAAAAACCTTGGGAAAAACACCTTGTTTAAAACACAATTTAAAGATGATGGTAAAGAACGGGACTATGATGTGTTTTGTCATTTTAAGGAACTTATTTGATATAGAATCCCAGCCAGTAGCAGTATCATTTTTAAGATTCATGATCAAGACTTCAATTTCGCTTTCATCTGGTGGGAGTAGAGCCATCGAATCTCTATTACGGGATATTTTATAATCATTTGTGCTGTCTGGGGAAGTGCTAATAGATTTTGAAACAATATTTTCCGCTAGTAGTTTTCCAATGTTTGCAAAATATCTTTTAACATCCTCAACAGCATCATAGGGGTTAGCCTGATTTTAGAGCTCGTAATGGATTTAATAGCGGACCACGTTTCTTTATTCGTTCTTGCATTTTTAATAATGATTTTTCATAAGTTCGTTTTATTCTTCTCAGCAACCCGTTACAGAAGTTTCTATAGTGTTTACAAGTTATATCAAGTATTTGGTTATCTGGATCTTTCTTTCTCAGGTTTTTATGTAACTTATCTTGGTTGCGGATACATTGGAGTAATCCGGGGGTTATCCATGGTTTTAGTATTTTTTTGCGCCCAGAAACGGTAATACGCGTGGAATTAGATTTTATTACTCTTGATAATGTTGCGCGCCACAGTTGATGGCACTAGCGCTATCTATTATCGAACAGAGGATCTAAGCTTTCTAGAAAGCCCCACACTCGAACTTTCTGCGCCTGGTCGGTCGGGGCCCGTATTTGCTGGAATATTCTGGATGTTTACGTGGAAGAGCCCTATTTAAAGCCGTTGAAAGCCGCGATCGGGGCAGTATTGAATTTGGCGATACAAGCGAAGCTTCGGAGCGAAATAAAGTGAACTAAAGTGTTAAGTGTGAATAATTATTAGTGTGATTTAAGTTTTAATTGGTGTTCAGTAATTAAAGTGTCGATTTTGGTAATTCAATCGGCAGTTTTTATTGTCACGAACCCTAAGCTCGTAACAATAATTTATCGACAAATAGAGTTGCAGCTTCTTCTGCGTCAGCTATGGGAGAGATGAAAGAGAAATCTGTTCATACTAGTTGTTAATAGCCGCCGCAAAATCAGTTTTTATAATTTGATTGAATATTTCGGAAAATAATAATTAGTGATTGAGATGTATGTTTAATTAATTTGCATCATGTTTCGATATCACACTAGGAAGACTTAGCCACTGAGAGATTCTCAAGATCCTGAAATATATTATTTAATGAAGTCATTTGAAATCGTTATTACAATGTTACATGTTGCAGGTATAAGACCACGTTTTGGGCAAAGTATTACATATATAATATTGGGGAATCTTAGAAGTCGGAGAAACATATATGTTTATGATATATACTGTTTTTTGTGTCTACTGGTGAATTTTGTTTGAATGTGTGTTTTAATGTATGTGTGCGAAATTGTATCGGTGTAAGTTGTTTTGTAACTGATATCATAGATTAAAAATATGTTTATGGTAGTATAAGAACAATATAATAGAATATTTATATTTATATTCATGGAAAAAGGATAAAAACAGTAGGTTTTACCAATACTTGATATTAGTTATGATGAGTTAACACATCTAATTTTTTCAATATCTGCTTTCGAGGTTATTCGAATTTGAGGGTCTCCCACTTTTATGCGCAGATAAAATACACCATGCGAGATGCAGCAAAAACTGTAATCACAGCAGCTTTTGTATTGGGTTCTTGCTAAATAGTATAATCTTTGTGTTTCATAAGTAAGGCATTCTGATACGTATACGGTATACTGGTTGTTTAGAATGCTTGAGCTTCAGGTGAGTAGTGTTGAGTTTATCACCTTTATCCTTTGTCTTATTAAAATTATTCTTTAATAACTTTATCTTTTAGTAAAACAGAGTTAAAGTTAACGAGAATTGAGTAAGTGTTTTATTTGCTTTTAATTCTGTGTACATTTATTAATCATTCTGATTGATATTTAGGTTTAAGCTCTGTCCCAGGTTTGTCACTAAATTGAAGAGGTCATATTTTGTTTATT